TGTTGTCAACATGACATCTGTCTGTCTCTCTCTCTCTCTTTCTCCCAGTGCTGACGTGGACGTCTGGAGGAAGACAACGCGTCACCTGTGAAGAGCTCCGTGTAGAGCATATAGACGGCCTTGTTGTCCCAGGGATTTTCACTCTGCAGGTCAACAGTGTGCAGTATGTACTTGATGAAGACCGTCAGCACCATGGTCATCAGGATGGCATACTAATAACACAGAGAGGAAAATGTAATGTGATTCTCGAGTCTCGAGAGTCCATTCTATGAGTTGTGTTTGGTCAAATTTACGGTCAATGGACCGCTTTCATGTTAAAGTATAAAAACAAAAAATGTGTCGAGATATTCAGAATGGAATAATAAAGTATTAAACCAACTCTTGTGTCAGGTGAAGTTGTTAATGACAATTACAAGCACAGATAATTGACAGAAAAAAGTGTTTCCCGTTCTTTAATTCTAGCAGCCTTTGATAGTGTGTGTGTGTGTGTTAGAGACACTTGGTGAAACCGACCTCAAATCCAAAAACAAGCTGAACAGATGCTCCTCTGGTGATGATGCTGTGACACGCATGGTTGACAAACAGGAAGTCCAGGACAGCCAGCAGTCCCATCAGAGCTGCAGGGACATCACAGTAACATCGAATGACACTCAAGTGACAGACAGCAGTACTGTACATGAAGTATATGAAGTTTGACAACAAATATTGCCGTCATTGTCTGTCTATATGAATGGAAATTAAACAGGAGGATGTACTGTAATAAAGTTTGTCATTTCTGCCCAGCACCTGTACTGCCTTCAAGAGCAGATATGGAAAAAAAATAATTTACATGTGGTATATTTTCATCATTTTACATTTTTTCATTTAATTATTCGATCGTGCAAGATCTTTTGAAACTTGTACATTTCAGTACTTTTTGTGTAAGAAATCTAATGTTTTCTTATGTGGAATATTGAAATTTTCTTATCAATATTAGCTGTAAGAAAATCAATAAAAAAATATTTCTAAATAATTCTTTAATAATTCACCTTTAAGGCTATAAAATGTGCTTCTTTAAAGACTTAAACAACATCTTTGCCAGGATGACATCACTACATCCTTTTGCACATTTACGTCATCTATTATGAACAAATAATATTGTTTACTCACACAACACTCTGATGTGAAAAATCCAGGAGATGTTAGGACTTCGTTCCATCTGAGAAGAAAAATAAAACGAACCATAAAATTAAGTTTAATTCATGCATACGGTCACCAGAAACAGAGTAATACAGTAATGGCTTATCATTTTTTAGTTGTTGGGAGTGAACTCTGACCTTTAGATAATGACAACTACTTACAAAATATTTTGTACCCTCACTTTATTTTCCTGTCCAAAATGCTTTAAATGCCCCCCCCCCCAAATTACATAGTAGTAGCAGACTCTTCACACTTGGTCTTTGACAGAGTTATCAGCAGCAAAGTTGACACACTGGAATGTTTTCCATGCCGTACGCCGCCTTGGCCACACACCATCTGTTTCCCTCCATGTTTACCCTTTCTTCAATGCATTAGAATATAGTGTAAAATGTACTGTGTTGATAAGACAGAGCTGTTTCTATCGTCACTCACAAAGTCCACCCGGTCCTCAGCCAGCCAGTGGAAGCACTTGAGGAAGAGCAGGAGTGTGAAGAGGGCAACAAAGCGAGGAGAGAAGTCATCTCTGAACACAGTGAATGCCAGACAGGTCTCAGTGACCGCGTACCACGAACGCTCGATCAGATGCTGAAGGTGAAGGAGATGGCCACAAAGAAACAATACAAAGTGGTGTCAAAAAGCTGCATAAAAGATAAAAAATGGCAAGAAATATGGACAGATATTTACCTCCATTTCTGCTGCCCTAAGCTGTCCAAAAAAGACCTTTCTCATGAACTTTCCCAGCAGAAACACCAGCACAAAGGCCTGTATGTACAACACCTGAAACACAAACCAGAACAGGCATAAAATACACAATGGTATTACCAGCTCTGATAATCGACAACAAGGATTTTATAAATTCTTCTTACCGCCATGCTGGGGCTGCTCTTAGTGAGGTAGACCACAGTGGGATAGAACTGGTGCTTTAGTAGATAGGCGTGTGCCACCACTGCCCCAGTCAGTGCCAGACTGGTGACAGTCACCAAGGCTGCTCGTACCATTTTAGAAACAGCAGTAGATACTGAGAGGGCGAGATGATAAAAAAAAAAAAAAAAAAAAGAGTCAAATTAAGGACGAAAGCTGCATTTGTGGGCTGACATACATGACTGAACAACATGCAAATCCTGAGAGGGACGTGTTGGAGAGGTTGAAGTTAATAATTGTTTCTCTTGTTCATTCACACTGACAAATGGCACACCCTATATTTGTTCCATCCTGATATATTAGAGACAGATTTTTGTGTTTACAAACTTATTATAGATCATTAATTTTTAATTAATTGCGACTGTTTAGTTTTCACGTTGGTTGCATATGATTTACAGGGTTTTTCAAAGAAACAAATAAATACAATTATAATACAAAAATAAGCTTGTAGAAAATTGAGTGGGCAGCGTGAACACGCCCACCACTGCAGCTGTCATCACTTAATAAGACACTTTGTAATTCTTTTTTTTTTTTAGCAACCACTCAATTGACATTTGTAATGGTTTGACATGACAGTAACATTAACTCACTTCTGTAACGGAGCAAAAAGGGTAAATTCAGCCTGATAAATCCCTTGCGTATTATTGTATAAGTATTGAACCAACGCATCACGTACATTTATTATAAATGGTTAAAAGTATATTTATTAGCACCACAGTCTGATAAACGACAGGTAAATGGCTTATTTAGCCTGTTAGCCTGTCAGTAGCCGCCTAGCTGCTAACCCCCAGCTGTTTGTACTCTGCAGCACTCACCGCCTTAATGTCTGCGAACGACTCGCTCCTCTGTCGGTCCGACGGTTGTCCTCTCCCTGGTAATATCTGTTTGTATTCACCGGCTACTTCATTTCGACTGTTTCGCTTAAAAGCCGCTCAATAAGACTTATCCTCGTCGCTGTTCGACTAGCTACGTGTTTATCTTTGGCTCGTTCAGTGGCAGCCACCTCACTTCCGGCTTCTAAGGTAATATGACGCAAGAAAAATTAAACTACACGTATATTCACATAAAAGGCTGAGGAAAAACACGTACAAAGTGCATAAAACAGACATTTAATTTTTTAATGGCTTACACATAGGGTTTTTATGCATTGTTAATGTGTTATTTGCGAATTTAGCGTTATACGAGTACATAGTGTATATCTGCGTGCGCCACATTTTAGGTAGTTTACGGTAAATACCGACGTGGCCCAATGAGAAACTGACTGAATGATGCCTGTCACGTTGTAGTCAGCATCCAATTGACAATCTAATACACATTATCTGAAAGGCTGCTGTGCCAACACAACGAAAATTCTTAATTTTATAATTAATTTTGTTGTTTTTTTTTGCCATTTTTTCAAACAGTAAATGGGAATTATTAAAATGTGTTAAGGTTTCGTTGATAATGTACTTTATTTAATTGATAATTTACTAAAACAAAAGTTAAATGACTACTTTTTTAGCCAGTTTTAATTCCAAATATAAAACCAGGACTGTAAATTGATTCCCTTCTCAATTTTATGTTCTGGTTTTTACATCACTATTTGGAGAAAACAATAAGCTGAAGGATCTGGTATTTTTTCAGGTTTTGGACACACACATCCAATTTTATTCACCCAATGGCTAGACATAAAAATGTTAAAGAACCAGACAAGAACAGAAAAAGAGAAATTAAATTTTAATCAAATAACCAGTTTATTTTATTGAGCTAATGAAGTCAGTTATTAATGACATAATGCCTCGGTACCCACGCCAAAATTTTATATGCCGCCACAAAAACAAAAAAACAAGAGTGCACAATATTTTTAATACAGCGAGTATGGAAAATACAGTCACTCTCATTTGAAGTTGAGATAACAAACAAGAATCAGTGATAATGATGATGTCCATTGTATGATTATATCATAAATGACTACTCCTATTGCAATAGATGTAACATTCACAATGTTGTTAGCTTATGACATGTTAAACGTGTTCAGTGATTGATCTCCCAATATCAAAAACTATCAGGTTGGCATACATAACGTTTAAAAAGGCAGTAGCTCAGTGTTTATTTCTAGCAGTCGAGACTATAAAAAAAAAGAGAAAGCACTTGTTATATCTGAGCATAATGGTAAACATAAGTGTGTCTATACCTTAATTGTAATTATGACACAGAGACAACAACGTTAGAAAAAAAAAAGTAAAAGTTAAATTCCAATTTGTCAGACAAAGGACAGAGCAGTGATACAGTCCTGCTTCAATAAAACTAAAAAATACAGAAATAAAATCATTTGAGAAAAAAAAAACAAAACAATAAAACTTAAAGCAAAAATAACATTTGTCAAAAACAAGCTCGAGGAGGGAGCCCTCTGTTCTTACAGGTGTTTTAACATGTTCCAGTAGTCGTGTGTCCGTGTAACTACTGCTGCTCAGCTGTTCTTCACACACACACACACACACACACCCTCTCCCGTGTCCAGGTGGTCTTTGTGTCACACTGCTTTGTTTTTCAACAACTGGATTTTGGCTACTGTCGTTAAGTGTCCAGGCAGAGTTCTGGATCCCCTCCCAAAGTGTGTGTAAACAGTTCAGCCATTATGAGGACCTTAAATTAGAAATCACCGAAAGGGGGGGAGAGAAGAATGGGACCCTCTCCCCCCAGCTGCACAAGATCATCATTAGGACACAGAAGAGATCGGGTTGAGAGGCGAACCCATCTGTGTTAGCACCTTGTCCAGCCATTGCAGGGGCCCATGAAGGTGGACCTCAATCCAGCAGGGGGTGCTAGTGACGTCCTGACGGTGATACTCGGCTCCCCATCCCTGAAAGAAGGCAGATTAAGAAGGATTACTCAAGGGTGACTAATATGAAATGACATATACTCGTCTTAAAGAAATAATGATACACAAGTCTCTGCAAGTCATCGCCGTACTGCGCGTCATGCTGCCCTCACCTTGACAAAGCTCATTCTGATGGTACACATCTTGGTGAGTTCATAGACAGCCTCAAAGCCATGGTTGACTGACTGCGTCAAAAGCTGCGCAAACTCCTGGTTGTTGAAAATCTTGAGGCTGCATCCACTGGGGATCTTGCAGACAGTGGTGGGGTGGAAGCCGTGGTGGTAATTACAGTTACGGCTCTGGACAAAAATGCTGGTATCACTGAGGCACTCCGCGTACACCTCCCCTCCCACGTAGTACAGGTGGACTCCTAAAACCAAGACAAAGTAAAAAAAAAAAAATCTTCACTCCTAAAACCAAGACAAAGTAAGAAAAAAAAATCTTCAAGATCAAATCACCACAAACGTCACCACAACCGTCCTCACTCTGCGAGTTCTACCTTTGCCAATGTGTCGACGCGTGTTTTCAATGGTGGAGTTGCGGTTGACGTTGGACAGCAGCCCAAGGCAGAAGCGGTTCTTGTTGTTTGAAGGGTCAGTGAAGCCATCTACGAGAACACTGGTGGAGGAGGCGTGGTAAGCCTCGCCTACACGGTTGTTGAGCTCATAGTAGACGATGGAGCACCAGTGACTGGGCTCTTCATACTCCACTGGTTGCACATCTGAAAAGAAAGAAAAAAAAATTAGCGATTAACAACTTCTCTCTCACACACAAACTGGTAGAGTCATGACAAACAGAAAAACATGCAGTTATTTTAATGTGCCAAAGGGGGGAGACATTCTTCTTATCATTTAAATTAACAACTTCTCCACCAAACTAACTACGAAATACATTTCCTGCTTTTAAATCCTTGCAGTATCTGCACATTTATTGAGGTTCATTGTGTTCATTAAAACTGATGTTGTTTTTGTGTAAGAAGCCTTTACTCGAAATCTGCTGACTAATGACTTATTGTTGACTAATGGATTTTTTATTTCCTGCTACCTCAGAATTGAAACTACGTTACCATTGTGCTAACAGGACTTTGTATGGCTCTGCCAGGGCCTGGCAGTGTGAGTGCATCATGGTGCCAACCTCTTAACATCACAGCACCCGTGTAGCAGAGCAGCACAGTGTCTTGTATCAGTAATAGCGTTGAAGGTGCTGCTGATTGGACACTCCTGAGCAACACCAACCTAATTCATTTTCACTGCAGCAAAAGTATTAATGGATTCCTATATGTTAGAAGCATGATCACAGTCTTTCCTGTTTATAAATGTCATCGTTTCTGCTCTTTAAAAAAAAAAACCAGCAGCTAAGGAAAATGGTGTTTCTGCTCTTTAAAAAAAACCAGCAGCTAAGGAAAATGGAGGAGAGTGCGAAAAGCAACTAGTAGAAAAACATGACCGCTCCTCACCTCCTCTGGCCATGTTTGGCGGCACCAAGTTGTTGCTCGTGTCCATGGACTGATTCTCCTGTCCCAGCTGCTCATCTGGGGGCATGTAGGCTGGGGGTGGGGTGTCAGCTGGAACATTAAAATGAGCAGTTAGTGGCTAAGAGACCAGTTGTTGCTAGCAAATGGCTACACACACACACACTTATCACAGAATCTGTACCCCGGAAATGGTGTCAGATTACATTTATCCCTTAGCTGCAAAGCTAAGAATCAGAGATGCAACATGACCCACAGCACAATTTTCATGTTTTAACGTTTGGAGATCGGCATTTATTAACAGAGGCCAACATCACTGATGGCTGTTGTTTGCAACATGACGGTTACAACACATTAGACCTGGTAATTTTTCCCAGGGTCAGACACATTTATGTTAGTTTTTATGTACCTGGGAGCTGGAATGGACTAGAGGGTCCCGAGCTGGCTGGAGAGTTTGGATAGGTACCACTGCTGGCTGGAGAGGGAGGATAAGGCGAATTGGGAGAGATGGGAAAAGAGCCTCCTCCGCCTCCTCCACTACTGCTACCACCGCCACTGTGGGGCTGCTGGAAGGACTCTGGGAAGGTGGCATTCAGGGGCATGTGTGGCTCGTTGTGGGTGAGATTGCGGAACTGCACCAGCAGGCTGTGCTGGGGGTTGAACTCGCTGTGCCGTGGTACCAGGACTGGAGGAAGAACTGAAAAGGGGCAGAGAAAAGGAAGGTTAAAAAATACATACATTTGATTTTTTTGATAATTTCTTCTGCTAAAAGTGACTTATTGATATTTATCATGTTTTTAAAATTATAACATCCCACAAACGTAGGGCAGTGGGCCCATCGGACTGCAGTTGGCCCGCAGGACACATATTTGCAGAGGAAGAACTGAACACAAAAAAGAGTGAGGTTTTCCCTTCCTTCATTGTGTATGTTTTGTTTGGTCAGCATGGTTAAATATACATATACAATAAATCTGATTTTTTTATAGTATTTTTTCTCTCTTTGCATGTGGAAAATCAAATGCACTAGCCAGAATTGCAATTAATAATACAATGTACACTCCATCTTCAGCACAGCATGTTACGACAACCTTGAAAGCCTCTTTTCAAGGTCATCATTGGTGTATGTGATGCAGCGTACAAGTGACAGGAGGCAGAAGGAAGGGCAGAAATGATAAAGTGCTGGGAGTTAAGTCTTGAGTGGTTGGTGCATTTAGTAAGCCACTCTCTAATGCCACACCCCATCTGGAGTGCTTGAGGCATATAATCTAATAAGATTCTAAAAGAGCTAGTGATATTGATTTTCTGTAATGGGGTGGGGGTTGGACAAGCCCGTGCGATGGCAGCCTCCTGACCTTTGTGGATATGTTTACCAGCTCCTTGGTTTACTCTTGAGATTCTGCTGTGGAAATATGGACCCTAGTTTCATATTCTGTGTATCGTTCAAAAGCCGTGTGTAAATATAAACATCTGGGGTCATGGATTTATTCTGTTAAAAAACTGTGAATTTCTGAGGTAAAAGCGTTATTAAAACCTACCTGGGCTTTCCACTCGCTTGTAATGATATGGGTTGATGCAGACCTCCTTCTGCTTGGAGCCAAATGGGTACTCGCACACCTCCAAAGGTTTGAGCTCATGGTGAGACTGGAGGTCAGGCCAGCGCCACACTCGGCAGTAGATGACGTGAGGAAGACCTTTTCTGTGGGAAACCTGTAGCCGGCCGTCCAGGGATCGTGGAATGGTCACACACTTGCTGGGCTGCCCTGGGCAGCTGAGGGCTTTCTCCAGGTCCTCCATGGCACCCTTCTTCTTCTTCAGCTTTTTGACCAGTGCATCTACTGCTTTTTCGGCCCATTTTTCTTCCTCGTCCCCCTGCTTCCAGCCAAGCAGGCGTTTGACTGCTGGACTTGTGAAGGAGAAGAGACTAGACATGGAGGTCATGCTGTAGGCTGGACGTTTTGGGGAAAGGCAACAGCTCCGTGGCGAAACGTCACCTTTAGGGAACTGCTGATCTCCAAATAGCAGTTGAACACGCACACAATTAAATGTGTATTTGTGAGGGTATGAGAGGCTGACAGAGGTGATGGGTGGGGTAAGGGAGAGGAGGCTTTAGCCTTGTCTAACCAAGGACAGGAAGCAGGGGAGGGAGGGGAGTCAGCAAGCAGGACGCAGCTGCTGCTGCTCAGGAAGGACCCTGCAGCAAGCTGTCCAGTGCTGGGTCACCACCACCGATGGAGGGAGGGGCTGCAAGCAACAGGGGCTGAGATCAGGACCTCTGTCCGAGTGACACGTTACAGCGGGTCTCTCTACGAGTTGTGTGAAATAAGGGATCAATCAATCAACAACAACAACTCCAAGCTCTTCTCTGGGCCAACGTTTCAAACGGAGAGTTTCTCTGCAGTCGCCTGCCAAACACAAAAGTGCAAATGTAAATTGTCACTTGATAAGGAGAACAAAGCAATGCTGATTATGACACGGGCAATTTGGAAATGTAATTAAGAAAATATGCACAGCAAAACAAGTCACAGATATTCAGTCAGTCGGCCGATCAAAAAGCTCTTTGTCTCCCTTCTACGCAAAACATGTCTTTGCTTTGGTTAGTTCGTTAGAAAAAGCAAATAGCTTAGTTGATAGGTGAGGTTGGCAGGTTGGTCTGAACACGTTAAATTACTATCTATCAACCTGTAACACTACTGTAATTAATGTTTACTCATTTAAAAAAAAGTAATTTAAAGCTTAACTAAACTAAATAAAATCACGCCAAAGAAAATGTTGTGATAATTTATTAACAAAAAGATGTGAAGACTTATGTTATTTGTTTGATTTTAAGCAGCACTGACAAAGTAGAAAGGAAATGATCATTTTCTGGCTAACATCGCTGGTTGTAGATACGCATTTGTTTGCTTATAGCTTATACATTTTTCATAAAAACAGGATACACACAACAACTACTTCAGTGCAGGAGCTGAAACAGCATTTTCAACAATATACTTTGTATGACCCTCAACCCATAAGTCACACAACTACAGCTGCACAACAAGAACAGTTCGGACTTGTGTCAAATGCACTTATAACAATCACTGCAATTGCATAAATATTTGGGGTTGAAATTTATAGTAGCTGAAATATATTGCCCACCCATACTTAAAATTATGTTTCCATGATATTATTCTGTCCAAAATTATTTTAATCTCTAGCATCTTCTTGAAACAAATTAACAACATTATTTTGCCTTCCCTCCAGTGATTCGCCCCTAAAACAATTTCTAGCCTCCACCGCTGTTACCAAGGGGTTTTTTAGACTTGAACACTGCCCCTATCACGCTTGTGATATACGACACTTAAATCTATACAGTGCAGCCTGAGCAAGCATGAAGTCCAACACATGTATCCTGCTGCAGCAGCTGTTTCAGGGTTTGTGAGTCTGGCCCTTGTTGAAAAGGATGTGACCACAAAGAGCTGCTTCCTCCTGCATCTCATCCCTCCCTTCCAGTGCACAGCTGTCCAACTGCACTGCTCCCACTCCCTGTGCTCATTGTTCTGCATGTACATGAAAGTGTGTGTGTGTGTGTGGGGGGGGGACATAAATGTGGCATGGAGACGTAAAGCAAAAAGTGGTTGTTTCTAATTGGGCTTATTGAGTTTTTTTGTTGTTGTTTTTTTTAAACAGCTTTTACAGTCTTTGCCTAACTTCCCAGTTTACAGTAGCTCTCTTCAACACAACATCTGCAGTGGTTCATCAACTCATCGTCTGGTGATAGATGATGATATAACTGTCTCAGGACAGGTCAAATAAACACACACACACAAAAAACCCAAAGGGTTCACACCAATAGCTTTTTGTGTTGCAATACCAATCAACCTTGACCACACTTTAACAGAAGTCACATTGTGAGTTTGGGTTTGGGGGAGAACTGAAGCCTGCGACTGATGTGCCAATCGAGCCGGTGATTAATGATGATTCAGAGTTAGTCTTCAATAGTCGATGCCATTGTCTAAAGCATAAAGTCAAATACACAGACACGCAGACCTTATAAAAGTCAATTCTGAGTCAGTGTTTTTTTTTCTTAAAAAAAAAAACAATACAATGAACAGACTTGTTGTCTGAGATCTTGTAATTTAAGTCCAGTCAAAATGGTCAAGGTCACAAACATTTAAAGACTTCACATCTTGAGGAAACTCCTAATGTAGTAAAAGAAACACACACAAAAACAACCTCCCCTTCATAACGCAGTTGTGACCCAAGATTACGCCAACGATACATACGATGTATAACGCATTTTTTAGCTTTAGTAAAAAAAAAAAAATCAAAATCACACCGAGCTTTACAGCGCGGGTTTTGTCAGAAATGTATGACTTGTATGAAGTTCAGGGAACAGACAATATGGAAGAATGACATGGTGAGTCGTAACGGAGCACCCCCACCCTGGGAGAGAAAAGGATCCACAAACGCGCTGAATGTTACGCCAAATCGAACAAGTAACGACACCGCATATGACGACCGTGGAAAGAAACTAGAAAAAGTAACACATTCGTCACGTGAATCGCGATTCGACTGCGTTCGTGAGCAACAACACGCTAACGTAAATAAATTCAAGGGGTTGCTAACGATGTTAGCCAAGTATAAAGGAGCATAACCCAGTTTTCAAAGATACCGAATAACTTTAAACAGCCATCACTAAAAGTTTTGAATGTCAGTCGCTGAAATTTTCACTAATCTCCTAAAGTGTGGCAATGGTGAATGTTTGTTGACTTTTGTCGGTGAGCCTGTGTTGCTTAACTGTTCCCCTTCTTCCTCCATTCCACAAACTTTTTTCAACTTCTGTAGCTAAGCTATGCTAACTGTTAGCCAAGCCATCAGAGAGAGCCGCGAGCCTCTGTCCTGCGTTACTCCACTGATGTAAGCCCCCGAAAACTCCCACTTTTACCCCCTCAATTCAACAGCTAATGTGGTACATACCTTCAAGGAGAACGCCTTTGTCATACAAGTCCGTGTTCGCGTAGATGTTTGGACAATAGTTCCTACTTTTTATGATTTTTTTTCAAGCTATACTCCTTCCCTCCGTCTCTCTATGCCATGTCCTCCAGCTCCTGGAGACAAGTAGGCTGGAGGAGGAGGCGAGGCGGAGTACATATCACTCCGCCAAAACAGACAAACTAGTGCGCGCACTGGCAATACAACACTGGATCATTTGATTGCTTATATATAAAAAAAATTAACACAAATTCAAAACACATGCACATGTAGCATTTTAAAATACAAATAAAGTGAATATTTCAGTTTCAATTTTAAGAACATGCGTTCGTTGTTTTTTTTTTTATTTTCATGCGCGTAGGTCGGACAATAGTCCATATAAAGAAACTTTATCCGTGTGTGGCACTTGCATCTAGATTTTTGCCCAGTTAAATTTCGACTGCAGACGAACCTCAATACGAGACAAACACTCTCTTTGTCAATACGTTGTGTTGCTGTTGTTTTATGATGCTTTGTGAAGTGTGTAACTAGAACTCTTACAGTGGCGGTGCTGCGGCTCTGGAACGTCTAACAAGTTACTGGCTCCACTCAGTCTGGAGCGCTGCGGTCTGTGTATTGTTGTCCTTTGTAGTCGCTTCCTCGACACTTTCTCTGTCCTCACGATGTTAATTCGTCCGACTTAAACCATTCAAAGCAGTCAACTACATTCTACATCCATTTCTGCGGACGTTCGGTTAACGCAGCGCGATACAATATCCACAGTGCAGCGCCTCGCCGTGTCCTGGGTCCAAATGAAACGCAAGTGACTTCATCCAGCGGCTAGGGGGCGACATGGACCGGATCATTGTGAGGGTCCACTCCAGGAGTGTTTTCCAAATCTTTTTTAACCATGGTAGGATCTTTTACATGAGCGCATTACCAATGCGCACCACAAAAACAATATATGTATTTAAATGTAATTATCTTTTAGTTTCAATTTACTCAACAATGTAAAATCTGGACATGTTATTTGGACGTTTCAACAGTAAATGTCACCTGTATTATTTTGGACTAAAGTCAAAAGGTGATACACACTTATTGTGAACTTCCTTTAACTATAAATGTGGTTGATTTTTTTTCCTACTTTCCACAATTAATAATTTTCAGTTTTTATGAAACCTCTTTGTGTTGCACTTTAGGAAAAATCAATTGACCACAAAAAAAACAACATTTTCCCTTTTTTTTTTTGCATTGACCAGTAATGCCAACATTTTCCCATTCCCCTGGCATTATAGCAGTCTTTTTGATGTTTTTTTTTTTTTTGCATTGACCAGTAATGCTGCCTAATGAACCTTCCATTACAGTGTTCACATCAATTCTCCTTATACAGGTTGATTGATTATACTCTGAAGTTGTACCTCTCTGTCCACTTCTCCACCATATTCCCCTACAATTATGAATTAAAATGTAATAACAAGAATAATTAATTACCATTATTATATTAAACCATAATCAGAAAATATCACGTCCCATGCCACAACATTAGGGAAGAGCAGCTTTGAGTTCACAAATAAAATATTGACAAAGAATATAAGTATCCACAAAACCTTTTAATATGAAACATGTCAAGGCCAGTGAGTAAAGCTGTTCGGTCCATGTTGGTGAAACCTTGGAAAGGAAAGAAACAAAAACCCCAACAACTATTAAATTCCCATCTAATGTTCACAGACCAACTTTCTGCTGGGAGACAGACAAGAAAAAAAAAGGTGTGGTGACATACTTTGAGCTCCTTCAACTTGACAGCCCACGGCATCGTTTGCACAATAACAACAAATGTGATGGAAACACTGCTGTGCTCACTAAGCTGGTGAATGTTTGGTATATTAAAATAAAAAATAATATGAAGTGGCGGAGGTGCTGTATCGTTAACTTTGCATTTTTGTTTTTCGTCAAGCTTCACATCATTGTTGCCTGCACACACACACACACACACAGGTAAATATCCTACAATAAGGCCGGTTCAGCTGATCCTGGTTCAGATTTCAGACCAATATGGACACAGTGACGTCTGAGGTTCTCATCGTCTTAGGCTCAGTGTGAAGAGGAATGTTTCGCTACAGCAGAACAAAATTGAACATTTATGATTCTGACATTAAAAAATAAACTCTGAAGAATCTGTGATTTGTCTACATTTGTTAACAGCGTGGCACTGTTTCCTGAATTAATTTTTTTAAATTTCCTATTTGACATGATATTTCGCATGAAGAAAGTTGTGCTAACACAAATGATGTGGGACAGTAGTTACAGACTGTCAGGTACATTTTTAGCAGATTTCTTGCCACTTTATTTATCTAGTATTTCTTTTACAATCCTTGGTCCTAATGTTAAGAGGTAAAATCAAAGTGAGGTTCCAGAAAGTTCCCTGAATGAAAGGGTTGAGAAGAAAAATCAGCTTCAGTTTTTTTTTTATGTTGAGAAGAAAAATCAGTTCGGTTCGGTTTTTTTTTCCACCATTGATCTCCTCAGTGCATAATATTTACATTCAGCTCTATATATGTCATTTTCACCCATATGTTGTGTCACATATACGTGAACACAGAGCATTGGAACGATCCTGTGACGTCAACATATAAATGATTTCATTTCAAGATAATTTTTCTAATGTTAGTCTGATTCTTGTTTAATCACTTAAATTATTATTTAAAAAAAATACAGATAAGATTAGATTTAAAAAACGTACACAATGCAAAAATGGGACGGCTTGTGTCCAGGAAGAATGAGCAGTCACATGACACACTGACAGTGTAGTCCTGCTCGGCCTTAGTAACTTCTAAATTTACAGCACTGTTAAGCCTTGAGAGGCCAATGGCTAATTATGGTAATTCAATTCAGAAAATGGAAAAATGATTATGCAGCTGATCTTGAATAACAGTTTTAAAACTGGCAGAAAAACCCATTTGAAAAGTTGCATGCAAGCATTAGCCCAATTGCATTCCTTATCTGAAGAAGCTGAAAAAAAACCAACAAATTCAATCAAGTGGGATTAAATATATAAAACCATAGACTGAAAAAAACAACAAATTTATTAAGTGAAATCCTGGGATTAAATATATAAAACCATAGACTTTTGATCAAAAACCAAAATAATATAATTTTTCTGCCTTCATGCAACAGTTTCATAAACCTGCTGTGACCGGGTTGACCCACAGCTCGGGCTGAGATTTTAATTATTCTGTGCTTACGCTGCTGTCCTTCCCACACAGCAATGTACAGTGAAGTATACAGGAGGAGTTTTTATCAGTATCGCTAAGCAAGTGGCCGACCTCGGAATCACACTTGGTCCCCAGGTTGTGCTATGTGGAAAAAACAATGAGGTTTTTAATAATCGGTGAACTGCAGATTATTGGATCACATGGTCGCCAGGTGCTGGTTACACAAAACTAGGGATGTCCGATAATATGGGCCAACCGATATTAGCATAATTATGTGTCAGAATCATTATTGGTTTCTCCTGATAACGCAACATCTGGGTTTCACCAAATGATTTGTGCCCTAAAAATAGTTTTGGGGAAAAACAGCTGTATGCATACAGTGAATGTCACTAGATGGCAGCATTGCAGCTCATTTTATTAATCTATTCTAAAAATCAGGGTTGTATGGAGAATGCTTGTACCAATTCTGGGGGAAGAGGTGAATAAAACTTCTGTCCTCTAGGGGGGACATGGCAGAAAATAACTGTGCTTTAACCCATCACCTTAGTGAGCAGGCGGCACTTACATTCCTTAACCACCTGGCTGTGGTTATCGGAATCGGAAATTAAGTGTTTAGACAATATCGGACATCCCTACAAAAAAACGTAATGAAAATGCTATTTAGCTGATTGCTAACACTGCATAACATGGTCAGATAACTTAGCAAATGAAGGCACTGAAAAATGATTTGATAAACATGTCAATACAGTGTAGAGATCCACCACACAACACTGCAGCATCAGTCTCAGATTAAAAAAAAAAAAGGGCCAGTGTGGACATTTCCATTAATGTGGAAATGAAGCTGGTGAGCTCTGACATGGACAGGGACACTGTCTCCTTTGGTGCCGGACACTATCTATCCTGTTTGTCCAACCAAAGGCTCCGATCGGAGGTCTCCTCAGAGGGAGTGTCCAGGACGGGATTGACAAACCCCTCGAATTCAGTGGTGACACTGTCTTCCAGGTGCGGGGCCACAAAATCATTCTCCCATTCCAGGGCGTTGGAATCTTCAGAAGCCGAGGTCGGCCCACTGTTCACGTGTTTGCCACCGGGGCGCAGCGCCGCACGCAGGATGTCCTCTTCTGTCCGAGATCTCTCCCAGACTGGAAAAGCCCGATTGATTCCTATAAATCCAAGGACTTGTGTTGGAATTCTGTCAGAAGACTTGGGGTGCAAGGAAATATCAATACAGCAGTAACCGACAAACAAGGAGTCTCACCTTCCTCATCCTCCCACTCCAGGTCCAGTGAGGTCACGTCATCATTGGTGGACCGGGTCTTGGTGGTGAAATCCCAGCTGCACTCCGTGTTTGGAGTCACTACATTAGTGTCAGATGGGAGTCCTGGTGAAAAAAAAGAAAAGAAAAAGAAAACCTGGTCAGTGATGAACCAAAAAACATTTTTTTTCCAACGAGAGGAAACATTGAATTCTTGATGACTCACTGCTACTCCTAAAAGCTTCAGACTGGGCTTTGACATTTTGAAGGTAGACGTCGAAATCTTCCCCAGAGGTTTGTCTGAAATGGTGGACAATGAACGACACAGGAGAATGAACAACTGGATAGTACATGTTTAACGGACAAAAATCATCCGTCCTCCAAAAATCACTCAGTCAAACTGTGACTAGCTGCTCTAGCTTTTCTTGATCTAGCCTCTGTTACTGTTGCCTTTCTATTGCAACCTCCTTTCATCAGCACTCTTGAAAGACTCCCTTCAACGCTGCATTTGGAAACTGGAGACCTCACTGCTCTGCGCCCCACACTCACACACACTCTGCACTTCTTCATTTCCCACATCATTTAATCCTCATATTTTTTTCAGAAAAGCATAACCAAACACTCTTTATGCCAAATGATCACAACACCGCACATCTGAGGGCTGAGACTCAGAGGTGTGAGTACACACAGACACATCATATGTTTCTTCGGGCGATGGGATGCCACCTACTGACTAACAACAGAGGCATCTTAAGTAAATCTAAATGATGAAATGGATATTTACAAGAACAAACTCTTACTTATAAGTGTGGGGGAAAAAAAATCTCTTGTGTTCCTCTCACTTTTTTTGTAGAGCTTCATCTCCAGAGCCGTCTGCTTTCCCCCGTATCCTTTGACTCGACAACTGTAAACAAACAAAAAATTTAAAAAATGCAGATGAAACAAGACATATCTTCACAATTAAAAAAAGAATTAAAAAAGCAAAAGCAAAAAGGCAAAGCCGAAGAAAACAAGATAATGAATATGGCATAAAGGATGTTTGGATGTAGCGGGAAGACAATGGCAGATGATGAAAATTCTACAGCACATTCTAGGAATCACTTCAGCTCTGATTGGTTCCAGGTGGAACTGTGAGTCAGCGGTGACTGTAAAATGAGTGGAAATCATAACTGGATTAAAGCGACTGTTGAAATGGTTCAAATGCAACTGGGAAAATCTACTGTTGTTTTCTAACACGGCTACAAACCACGATGCTAAGATCAATACTTTCTCTTACAGGACACCACCAACAGGATGATCACGAGACAGCACAAACGACAGAGGGAGAGAAAATGGACAAAACATCACTGTGTCTTCGAGGACACATGAGTTTCATTAGACTTGAAATGTTAGTCAGTCTCTGCCTCTGAGGGCCAGCAGGGTTAGAGGAGGTGTTGCTAAGCCAAGCAGCAGCCCAAACCGACAGAAGGTAGCGCTCAGTGCCGCCTCACCTCCTTCATTTTTCGCTCACGTGCCAACCTGGCGGCTTCACGCTGTTCGGCATTTCTAGCCTCTTCTTCTAGCCTTAACTTCTCCTCTTGTGCCTCTAACTGAACAGGAGTGAGAACGTGAACACAAAACAAACAAACACAAAACACAGATCAGAAAAAAAATTACAAAACAGAAAAAAACAAACAATGCAGCAAATTAAAATGAAGGAAATCAAGTCTTAAACATAAAATGACACATGGGGCAGTTCAACTAAGAAGGACATCGGCCTTTTAAGTTGCTGGTTAAGCTACTCTCACCTCCTCCTGGAGCTTCTGGTCAAGCAGGATCTGCTTGTCTGAGATAGCGGTGTAGTGGTGTTCACGAAGGTGTTTGATTTCCTCGTCACTGATCGGCCTTTAGAAAACAACCAACAAGAAAACACCAAATGTTAAAGAATTTCTACATTTCCACTCAAGTTGACATTGATTTTTTTTTTTTCCATGAGGAACCTCTCACCTCGGGCATGGCTGTGGATTCTCTCCCTCTCCCTGTGACGCAACAAATGAACACGAGACATTACAGCATTGAATTACACTTTGAAAGGCATCTTGGCCGAGACTGCAACTGAATTACTACTCCAGAGGGATAACGGTAGACTGCTGTTATTAAAGTGATCAACAGCGTATGTATGTACATATATA